AGATGCATTTTCGCAAGTCGTATGACCTTTTAGTTCATATCTATCCTAATTTCTATGATTTAACTTTGATGTCACTAGATGTCGAACAATGATGTTGAAGCCGATATTGTTCCTAAAGGAAAGGATTGGGAAGTTGTTGCACTCACTGAATCCATGTATGCTGCTGCCCCTTCTCCTCTCGAGCAGGAAAACCTTCAGAAAAGTCCAGCCAATTTAATTGGGGCCTTAAATCCCGAGACTGATCGTGCAATGCTCATGTCCGCCCACTTTGGATTTTCACCGAGCATGCTCGAGAACCAGCCTGCTGAGCCCAAAATCGAGGAAGTCGAAGAAAATTTGAATCTCGAAGGCCCACTTTCTGATGGAGTTAAAACATACGATGTTGAAAAGGACGAAGATAATGAACATTTTGAATCTTCGGACCCTACTGTGGATGATCCATTCTTGTCGAATGTTGATGAAGATGAATTTAGTAAGCTCCCAAATGCCACTTGTGAGGCTTGGTGGAGAAAGTACACGTCTTTCTTGTGTGGGCAGTCGAACTCGAAAAGCGTGAATCCATATTGGTCGGTTGCAATTACTGCTGCTGTTGTGGGGCTCGTGATCGTTGGTCACAGGTGGCAGCGTGAGAATCGGCCGCAGGTTTTTCGGATTAAGTAAACTGTTAAACTGTTAATAGCAAGTTTTACTATAATTGTTGAGCTGCTAGGGGAAAGAAAGTTTTTCTATAATTGTTCATTAGTTAAGCTTTTACATTCTATTTGCAAGGACTTGAAGGTAGTAGTGGTGTTTGGTGGTACATAAATTCCTTGTGTGAGACGGCCATTAGGCGTGTCGGCTCTTCTTATCTTTATAAAAAAAAATAAAAATGCATATTTATGAAATGTTTTTTGTGCGAGAAATGTAGTCCACGTAGGATCAAACGCTAGACACGCTGGCAAACAACTTGCAGCTGACGGGGTTTGGACTCGGATTGCAGTTTCTAGACAATGTTGTATTTTTTTGCTAATTTTTTGAAGTTTGGGTAAAATTGCCTAAAATCCAAGGGTCCAAAACCAACCTTGCCAAACGACGTCGTTTTAACTAAAAGGGTGTTTTCCTTTTGAGCCGGACTGGTGTCACGTAGAGAAGGCTAACACCTTTTTCTTGGATGACAACTTCGATTACAACCCAAGTGTAATGCATTATAAAAAAATTAAAAAATACTTTGAGTTGTCCCAAATTGTCATCCAAGTAGGCTTTATAGCATTGCTCATTATAACAATTAATAACATTATGTTGGGTTGGGTAATGAGCTAATGGGCTAATGAAAATATTGGATTGGGTCTAAAGAATTATCAGGAAATCCTAAGCCCATTATGTATAACAAATGCATAAAAGATCAATCTTCATGAGTACATGGAAAACTTTGATGTATTGGAAGAACTTGAAGCGGACAAAGAATTTTGTAGAGCCGTTTATTCCAAAAAGTTTCGGACTCTTCTGTTTTGCATGAATATTGTAATTCCAATTTAGTCGTCAAAAAACTATTTTAGAGAAAAATGTACACCGAGACGAAACTAGAGAAACTCGTATACAATCGAAAAAAGCCGATCATGGGTTTGTTGGATATATAAACACAATTCTTGTGTTTACTATTTTTCATATTTCTTTGATGTTTTCTATTTTTCTAGAGAAGTTATGTTAGGTATATAAACACAATAACCGTGTTTACTATTACTACTAAAAGTTGGGTGC